ATCTGGACTTGCATTATTGCTCAGAAATAGAGGCTGATATATATATTAGTCTTGCAAGGCTGCAATCAGGTAGAAAGTTGTTCTTTTCAATACTTAATTTAGTCCATTCAATTTGCTCTTTCAACATAATTACACTCTTAACTATCACTGAAACAACGCTTCAAGTCGTTGAGCTTATGATTAATCTTCCATATCTAGCTTTCATTGCCATAATTGTTCACAAATATGAAATTTGAAAAATGTGTGCACTATATGTTAATGGGATCATGATCAACCTCACTTTCTGTTAATTTATGGTTTTCTCACATCTTTTTTTTTTCTTTTTAACTTTGGGAATTGGTGGAAGGGGAAGGAGAGTAGGGGACAAGGGATATTGAACCTTGGTTGTGTGAGTGAAACGCCCATATTTTAGCCACACGAGCCACTACCAGGGTTCATTATTTTCTCACATTTGCTGAATCAAAACATTTGGTTCTTAATTTAAGTCCCACTAAGTTTGTTGCTTACTTATCTGCAATATAAAAGTAGACTAGATTCTCAAACATATCTAATTATATTATTTATGTCATTGCTGCACTCAATGAGTATTGAGGATGGCTTTTGGGTATGTTAAAACCACAGGCTCTTTTTGTCTTATCTCTTGTTTGTTAGGGGTTTCTTTGATATGAGGACCCTATTTTACAATTCGAACTAAACTGGGCTGTAAAACAAGAACCATTAGATAGAAGAAGACTTCAATATCAAGAGTTTAACCCTTATCCAATAGTTAGTGTTGTGCAATCCGGACCACACAACACCTTTTGCCTTTGATATTAACATAAGATGCTTGACTTCTAAGCTGTCTGGATTGGTACTGATCTATGTTCCTTTTTCTTAGTGATTTTCATTTGACGAATTGTACAAATGATGAGGATTAAAGGAGTATGCATTTTCTTAGTGATATGTTTTGAAACGGCATTTTCACTTTCAACTACTTTCTTTTATATTCTTTATTATTATTATTATTTATAATTTTGGTGGGAATAGATTCAAAGAAAAAATAAAAATTCAAGCCTCTAGAAGGAGGACCTATGTGAAGTACCTAGGAACTTTTGCACCAGGAGTATGGCAAAAGAAAATTGTTATGTATACAGCTCAAAAAATAAAGACTTCTTATATAGTCTTCGAACTCATTACAAGGCAAGGATTCCCAACAGCCAGGGTACAAGACATAAGGTACTATTGGGGAAAATGAGTAAATTTGGACTAAACTGCAAACTATTAGTTGGTAGCATCGTTCTTTTCCAAACCCTTTTTCAAGTTGCAGGAATCAACCTTTCAAAGTTCAAAATTCTAGAAAAAGCATCTTCCTAGAAGAGAGAGATAAAGGCATAAAACACATAGAAGAAGAAGAAAAGAAACAGACATGTTTTGCCCTTTTTTTTTTTTTTTTCGATCTTGGTTCTATAATGAGAGGTAACGATCTCCCATCTGTTATCTCACCCCACCCACATACTATGCAACTCGAACTTAGAATCTTTTACTTCTAATGGAAAAAGATTACCACTAAACTATTTAAGTTATTAGGGACATGTTTTGCTTTAGTTTAAAGTCAAGTGGTCAACTATTTTTTAGCTAATTATATTATATTTTTATTAGGAAATTGCACATCACATTCATATGTTAGTCGATGGAAATGACCATTTGCTGATATGGAAATTGGTATCAACAAGAAAATTTAATGTTGGAATTGAAAGAAAAGATGCCCTCTCCTTTATTAAATAAATAGGGTTAGGAGATCAGCCTGCTTAGCATATAACACATGTAGAAACATTTTCAATACCTTAAATATGAAAATTTTTCTAAAGTCTTCTTTTATTCTCTTTCAGATTTCTGGTTTTCCTTGCTTCTATTAAAGATCACAACTTCACCAAGAACAGAAGCAGAAGCTTTTATACAATGGAAGAACAGCTTATCTTTTTCACCACCTTCTCTGAATTCATGGTCCACCAATAGTATTGGCAATCTCTACAACTGGACTTCTATCACCCGTGATAGCTCCACTGGAATGGTTTCTCAAATCAACCTCAGCAATGCAAACATCACCGGATCACTAGCCCAGTTCAACTTCACCTTATTTTCCACTCTAACCCACTTCGACCTGCATAATAACAATCTTGTTGGATCAATACCACCAGCCATTGGTAGCCTATCCAAGCTCACTCACCTGGACTTAAGCAACAACAATTTGATAAATATTGTGCTTGTGGAGATGGGGCAATTGACAGAGCTTCAGTATGTCAACCTGTTTAACAATAGTCTTAATGGTAGCATCCTTTATCAAGTAAGTTATCTTCAAAAGGTATGGTACTTAGACCTTGGATGGAATTACTTAACAGATCTTGATTGGTCCAAGTTCTTAGATATGCCTTTGTTAATTCATCTTGGATTTTCAAATGATGCCTTAAAATTAGTTTTCCCTCCTTTCATCACCAATTGTCGGAATCTTACTTTTCTAGACTTGTCAATCAATTCCTTAATTGGCACAATACCAGAATCAGTGTTCACCAATTTAGTTAAGCTTGAGGCTTTCAATCTTAATCATAATTCATTTGAGGGTCCACTGCCATCAAACATTTCCAAGCTTTCTAAGCTTGTATCTCTTCAACTAGGAGCCAACAAATTCAGTGGTCCAATTCCTGAGAGTCTAAGTCTTTTGTCTAAGCTTGAAATTCTTGAATTGTTTGAAAATCCTATAAGAGGTATCATTCCCTCTTCTTTTGGTAAGCTAAAGAAACTCAAGAAGCTTGATCTTCACTCCAATTCCTTCAAATCTACCATCTCTTCTGAGCTTGGTTCATGTACCAATCTCACCTTTTTGGCTTTAGCCAAGAATCAACTCACTGGTCAACTACCTCTATCCTTCTCCAATCTGGTTAGAATCTCTGAGTTAGGTCTTTCCAATAATTTTCTTTCTGGTCAAATCCTTCCTTTTCTTATTGGCAATTGGACCCAATTGATCTTATTGCAGCTTCAAAACAATAATTTTAAAGGTAAGATTCCATCTGAAATTGGCTTACTAACAAAGCTAAGGATTCTCTATTTGTTTAACAACATGCTTTCAAACTCCATTCCTTCAAAGATTGGGAATTTGAAAAATGTTGTAGAATTAGACCTTTCAGGAAACCAACTTTCTGGATCAATTCCTTAACTCTATGGAGTCTCACAAGGCTTCAAAAGTTGCAGCTGTTCTCTAATAATCTCAATGGCACAATCCCTCCAGAGATTGGAAATATGGCATCTTTGCAATCTCTTGATCTCAACATAAACCAACTGTTTGGGGAATTACTAGAGAACATTTCTAGCCTTACAAATTTAGTTGCAATCTCTCTATTCACCAATAATTTCTCAGGTAGCATCCCTAAAGATTTTGGGAAATACAATCCATCTTTATGGTATGTGAGTTTCTCACACAATAGCTTCTCTAGAGAACTCCCACCTAAATTATGCAATGGCCTCAATCTTCAAAATATCACTGTCAATGGCAATAAGTTCATTGGCTCATTGCCAACTTGCCTTAAAAATTGTCCACAGTTAAAAAAGGTTCGATTTGATGGGAACCTATTTACAAGTGACATCACAAATGCATTTGGGTTGCATCCATTCCTAAATTACATTTCTCTTAGTGACAATCAATTTACTGGGGAGATCTCTCCACAGTGGGGGCAATGCCAAAATCTCACCACTCTATAAATGGACGGAAATAGAATTTCTAGCCAAATACCTATAGAGCTTGGTAAATTGAACAAGTTAGGTGTTCTTAGTCTTGGCTCAAATGATTTATCTGGAAATATTCCTGATAAATTGGGAAATTTAAGCATGTTGTTCAATTTAAGTCTAAGTAAAAATCGCCTAACTAGAGAGATACCTCAAAGCATAGGGCATTTGCAGAATCTTCAACTTCTTGATCTGTCAAGGAACAACTTGAGTGGGAGTATACCAAAAGAGATTGGAAATTTGAAAATTTTATTGAGCTTGGACTTGAGCCACAACAATTTATTCGGTAGCATCCCAAGTGAGCTTGGAAACTTAATTTCAATTCAGATCACATTTGATTTAAGTAGTAATTCATTATCAAGAGCAATCCCCCAAGATCTGTCAAAACTTGCATCATTGGAGAATCTTAATGTTTCACATAATCATCTCTCTGGCACTATTCCAACTAGCTTATCTAGCATGGTTAGTCTCCTCACATTTGATTTCTCCTATAATGAGTTGATAGGTCCAATTCCGATTAGTGGACAGTTTCAAAATGCTTATAGTGAAGCCTTTATTGGAAACTCAGGTTTGTGTGGAAATGTTGATGGATTGACCCTTTGCAGTTTAAGTTCCAACAATAGTAAGCCTAGTAAGATTAATACTAAGATTCTTATTGTTATCCTTGTTCTTGTGTGTGCCCTTTTTGTTCTAATGTCAATTGTTGTGTTGATTCTATTGCATCATGGTTATAACAAACCACATGATGAGGAGGCTAAAAGTAGTAAAAGCTCTGAGAGTTTTGAGACAATGATATGGGGAAAGGAAAGGAAAGTCACGTATGGTGATATTGTAAGAGCTACAGAAGATTTTGATGATAAGTACTGCATTGGAAAAGGAGGATTTGGAAGCGTTTACAAAGTCTTGCTGTCCAAAGATCAAGTAGTTTCTGTTAAAAAAACTCAATATACCAAACTCCAATGATATCCCAACTACAAATTGCCAGAGTTTTGAGAATGAGATTCATGTTCTAACAGAAGTTAGGCACCGAAACATCATCAAGCTACATGGATCCTGTTCAACAAGGGGATGCATGTATTTGGTTTATGATTACATTGAGAGGGGAAACTTAGCAAATGTCCTACATGGAGTTGAGGGAGAAGTGGAGCTGGGATAGGCTGCAAGGGTGAGAATTATGCAGGGATTGGCTTATGCCCTTGCATATTTGCATCATGACCGCTCTCCCCCTATTCTTCATTGAGATATCTCTTTGAATAACATCTTGCTCGAGTCAAAACTCGAGCCAAAACTCTCAGACTTTGGCATTGCAAGGTTGTTGGATCCAAATTCTTCTAATTGGACAACAGTTGCTGGATCTTATGGCTACATGGCACCAAGTAAAGCTCACATTAGATAGATGTATGTTGATTAATAATGTTTCCTTACCAATGACATCTAATAAATTGTTCTTTTACTTTGTTTTCTTGTTTTTTAGAGCTTGTACTCACAATGCAAGTAACAAATAAATGTAATGTTTTTAGCTTTGGTGTGGTAACATTAGAAGTTATGATGGGAAGGCATCCAAGGGAGCTCCTGAACTCTTTATCATCATCAACATTTTCATTAGAAAACAAAGAAGTGCTTCTGCAAAATGTGCTAGACTCTCGACTTCCATCACCCACAAGCCAAATAGCAAAGGAAGTTGTATTTGTTGTCAAGATAGGCTTAGCTTGCACACATTCAATGCCAGAGTCCCGACCCACCATGCATTTTGTGGCACAAGAATTGTTAGCAAGAACACAAGCCTACTTGGCAAAATCACTAGAGATAAAAACCATTAGCAAGCTCATTGGCCATCAAAAATAGAATGAAAGATACTGTGTCTCTAAGTCTCTATTTGGTAATGCATAGACATTGCCGACCAAATCCTAGGGTTGAATTTTAGTCTCTCTTTAGAAATAATATTTTTATAAAAAGTTGTGCGTGTAGTAAAATGTATTACACAAAAAGCTCAATAAGGACACCTTGCTCGACGCCATTGAGAATTTGGTGTACCTTCTCTTTGTTTTTGGTGCAAGGATATTCGAATATGTATTATGTCATCAGAATCCAGGCTTCAACCACCAAATTAGAATAGCAATGTGAAAAGTTTGGTATTTTCTAAATTCCAACTAATTAACTTCAATCAAAATGAATGCCATTTATTGAAACCAAAGATATGTGTTTACAGTTTATGCATGAAATGTTTGGTCCAATGACAGAGCCAGGATTTGGGGTGAAGGGCACCAAATTTATGGAAACTTAAATTAAAGGTTAAAACTCTAATTTGGCATCTCTACTTTAACCAAAAAAAACCCTTTTTTAGTCCCCTCTACTTAAAAAAGCCTCTTTTTGGTTCCTGAAATTTGAAATTCAGCCACTTTTAATCTCTTCATTAAATTTTAGCGTTAAATAATGAAAATTTTAAAGTAGAGAGCAAAGACCTACTTTTAGTCCTTTACCTTAATAAGTTTATAAGTTTTGCCCCTCATCTTATACTATGACACTTTTAGCCCCTTACCTATTAGAATTAAAGAAAATAGCTCTTTACATATTAGAATTAAAGAAAATAGCCCTTATTTTATGACATTTCACTAGTTCTGTTAATTGACTGTTAACTCTATTACCTAAAAGTAGGTTTTTACTAGTTAATAATTAGCTAACAGTCAGCTAACAGAACTAATGAAACATTGTAAATGGCTACTTTCTTCAATTCTAATAGGTAATGGGCTAAAAGTGTCATATTATAAAATGAGGGGCTAAAACCTATAAACCTATTAAAGTAAAGGGCTAAAAGTGGGTATTTGCCAAAGTAGAGAGACTAAAAAGGGGGCTTTTTGCCAAAATAGCGAGACCAAATTGGGATTACTTTTAGCCCTTCTTTTATTCCTCTACTTTGAAATTTCCATTATCTAACATGTCACATGTGTGAAACTTAATGGAGGGCCTAAAAATGAGCCAAATTTCAAACTTTAGGGGACCAAAAAAGGACTTTTCTAAGTAGAGGGACTAAAAAGAGGTCCTTTATCAAAGTAGAGGGACTAAAATGAAGATTAAACTTAAATTAAACTTGCGTGAAGTATTATTTCTCCTGTCTATTTTAGTTGTGTTAATTTGACTTATGCCTAAAGTTTGATTATTAATTTTATTTAGCAAACATATGAAAATTGAAATTTTTTTTTTCTTAAACATGGTATTTGTTGAATATTTTCACTAAGATAAAAAAAATTTTAGTTGTTATTAATTTATTGTATAAAATCATCAAGTTATTTAATATAAAGTTAATGGAGTGGGCAAACAAGAAAGTACAATAAAGAGTAATAAATAGTTGTAAAAATTATAAATTGGTGTCTAAAATCAAACTTGACCATGCTCAATATGAGATATTTTGTACTTTAGAAGTTTTGATAATTAGTGAATAATTATTTAGTTATATTTGTGAGAAAAAAAGTATAGAATAAAATACATCTAAAAATATGTAATAAATTTAAAAATATATTAAAAAGTTGGTATAACAAATGACAAAGTAAAATGATAAAATAAAAATATATATATCGATAAAGTGGCCATCAGTCTTGACTCCTAAAAAAAATTTGGAGTTCTAACTCAAAACGACGCCATTTTATTAATCTCCCGCCCTCTCTTAATGTCCCGCCCCTCCTTCTTTTTGGCCCTTCTGCACTCATCTCCATCTCCATCTCCATTGCTTCCCATCTCCATTACTTCCCATCTCCATTGACTTCTCTGATTCCTTCAATTTTTCAGATACAATCCCACGCCGCCAACTTAATCCCAAGCACCCATTATTTTCACCCCATTCTCCTGCTGTAATTCGTCATTTCCGTCGACGGTAAACCCTACTTCGAAGGACGATAAGTGCTTTGTTTTCTAACCATGCTCTATCTACCCAAGAAAGTCAAAAAAAATTCTTACTCCTAGATTATCTTTTATTACAGGAATTAAGATGAATTCTTCTCCAATTTCACAACAAATATCTCAAAATGAAATTGATGGGAACAATTGCTTAGTCTTACAAGCAGTAAATGACAACAATGACAACTTCTTAACTATACAAATGGATGATCTTGAGGGGTTAGAAGAGATTTCTACTAGTACTGCTATGGAAATTGAAGGACCCAAAATGTTGGGTGAAGATGACATTATTGGTGGGATGCCTCATAAAGGTATGCAATTTCCTTCGGCTGATGAAGCTTGTGAATTTTATAATGAATATGCCAAAAGAATGGGATTTAGTATTCGCACGGAGTCAGCAAAGAGGTCGTCCCCAGATGGACCTGTTAATCAAAAATATTTTGTTTGCTACAAGGCAGGAAAAAAGAGAAATTATCAACCTAAAAAAAGGGGAACATGTGACCTCCAAATCGAGTAAATTGTTGTGCTCGAATGTCTGTTCTCTTGAAAGATGGAGTTTGGATTATAAGCCAATTTATTGATGAACATAACCATGAGATGTTTAACTCCCCAAATAAAGTAAAAAAACTGCGATCCCACAACAAAGAACACTTATTACCAGAGACAATTGAGCTAATAGATCAATATAAACAAGTTGGCTGTGGACCTTCTAGAATTGCAAGACTTTTGAATGTGACAGGCAATGGTACATCGAATATTACCCCACAACAATGTCAACAACATTTGAGGAAAAAAAGGGAGAGCAACATTGGTCGCGAGTGCATGATGGTTATGCAACAATTCCTATTCATGACTGCTTCAGATGAAAATTTTTACCATGCCATAAAGATTGATGAAAATGGTGTTTGTAGGAGCTTGTTTTGGGCAGATGGAAGAGCTAGGGAAATGTATCAAAATTTTGGTGATGTTGTGGTTTTTGATGTGACATATCGGACTAATACATTTCTTTTACCATTTGCTCCATTTACTGGTGTGAACCATCATGGGTAGTCAACTTTGTTTGGATGCGCCCTCCTATAGGATGAACAGGAAGATAGCTTTGTGTGGTTATTTGAGCGGTGGCTGCGGTGCATGGGGGGTAAAGCACCTGGTGCAATTATCACTGACCAGGACCCAACAATCACTAATGCAATTAAAAGGGTTTTTTCTAACACACGTCATAGGTTTTGTAGTTGGCACATCTCACTCCATGAGGATGAGCATCTTTGGGCTTTAAGATCATCATATAATCTTGGATTTGATGAACAATATTATAAGTGGGTGAGAAAAAGTAAAACTATTGAAAAAGCCGAGAGTGCTTGGAAAAAGTTAAAGGAGAAATACAAACAAGAGTTTATGGAGCCATTGACAGAGAAGCAACGCAATGAAAAAAAGTCTTAGAAATGGTTAGAAAGCATGTATGAGCAACGATATAGTTGGATTGATGTGTATTTGAGGGACACATTTTTTGCTAGAATGAGATCAAGTCAACGAAGTGAGAGCATTAATTCATTTTTTGATGGTTATGTGAACTCTATGACACCATTATCCGAGTTTGTTCGCCAATATGCTAAAGCTCTACAATGTCGTCGTGATGAGGAAGTGAATGAAGACATGTGGACAATGAGAGCAAAGCCAAATCCATGTCACTTGCATAAGTTAGAAGTTCGAGCTGGAATGGTTTACACTAGAAAGATATTTGCTAAATTTTAGAGTGAGTTCAAAGATTCTTTATATTGTGTGCATGATGAAGTAGCTACTAATGATGGGATGACCACATATGATGTTAGTTATGGCTTTGGGGGCAAGGTTGATTCACACTCTGTGCGATGTGGTCCATCCAAGGAGGAGTTTGCTAGTACTTGTGGGAAGTTTGAGACTAGTGGTATTTTGTGTAAACATATTCTTCACATAATGATGCAATGTTATCGAATGGAAGAGATTCCTGAACAATACATTTTGGCTGGCATATAGATATAGTAATAAACAAGCTCAATTGATAAGCACATCAAAAGAATTAGTGGTTTATGCACTTGATTCTTGGAATCTTCGAAAATCTCTTAATGAAGTGCATGACCAAGCAATAAGTCATGGCAAACTTTATAATGTTGCTGCAGCAGTGGTGGAAGATTTGAAAAGGCAATTATATAGTATTAGAAAGGAGCTTGAAGGTTTGGTTACTAAACAAAGTGAGCAAGATTTTGGTGCTCAAGCAATATCTCAAGATTTAATTTCAAGTAACATAGATATTCGTGATCCGGAAAGGGTTAGAACCAAGGGTCGACCAAAGGAACTTTCTAGGATTCCTGCAGGAAAACAAGTGTCACAAAATACAGCTCATATTAGAAGGTGAACTTGTAGCACATGTGGTATTAAAGGTCATAATTCTAGGACTTGTGGAAAGACAAAAGACAAGGTAAAATTATTAAGTTAATCATTATTTTTTCACTTTTTAGCATCCTATTTGCATGTAACTTAACAATATCTTGGTTTTGTGCTTTGTTTTTTAGGTCATAGAAGATGGAAGTGCAAGTCAATTACCCCATGCAAAGGAGTGATTGTTATGATAGAGTAACCATTAAGCTTATTTTGTAAAGAATTGGAGCTTATTTTGTTTAGTGTTAGGTTTGTTTTGGATATGAATTGAGCTTATTTTGTGAAGTTTATAGCTTACTTTATGAAATTTATAGTTACAGCTTACTTTGTGAAGCTATACTTTGTGAAGCTATACTTTGTGAAGCTGTACATTGTGAAGTTTATAAAAGTTTGCAATGTACTTATATAAGTTCTCTTAATTATTTGTAATGCCTTATAGAAGTTTTTTATTTTAGATTTTCTAAAAAGATTTGTGCTGGGGGCTTGATAAGAGTTAATTCTAGTAGTTGGGTTTCAGGATTCATGGTTAATGTGGGGTATACCTCTATTCTCATAGCAAAATTTTGGGGTCTTAGAGAAGGCCTTCGGTTATGCCAATCCCTTGGACTTTCTCGTGTTATTGCAGAAATGGACTCTCTCATATCTGTTTGCCTTGTCAATGAGAACTGAGAACCAGATGACTTGTTTGTAGCTATTTTATTGGAAATTAAAAACTTGATGCAGGGAATTGATGTGTGTATATTGCAGCATACTTTAAGAGAAGGTAATGCTACAGCAGACTTTTTAGCTTCCCTAGGACACTCAACTACACCAAGGTTACATATTTGGGATTCTCCACCAAGTGGATTATGGAATATCCTTGAAGGGGATCAAATGGGGGTATGCTTCCTCTGTTAGTAGTTTTCCTTGTTTTAATTATTTAGCTTATTTCTGCTGTACCAAAAAAAAAAAAAAAGATTTGTGCAAAATTTGTTAATTGTAGTGGAAATTTATTTTGTACATAAAAGGGCAATTGCCAACTTTATTGCATATAATCAATTTACATTGTACAGTACAAAATTTTGTATGTGAGCTTACAAGTCACATTTTGTTATAATAAACCCAAAAAACATGAAAAAGAAAAGGCCACAAACAAGCTAAGGCTAAATCTACAGAATGTCTTGTTTTTTTGGCCTTTTTGCTATATGCCTTGTTCAACTTATTCTTCACAACATTCTCCACTATGAAGGAAACTATCTTCTTCTCAAAAGCAACAACAACCTCATCATTGAAAGAGACCTCACGTTTGCTAAGTTGGCTCCTCAATAGCTGTAAAGACAAAAGATAACCAATAGCTGTAAAGACAAAAGATAACTTCATTTGCCCTTTGCTGCCATGCCATTCAATTTGTTAAAATCTAATCTGACTTATCATAACAAAAGAACTTTCTTTCACCTACTTGAATTTTTCCTAAGCATTAACCTTGTCCAAACACACAACAACCAAAAATACAATCTTCAAATTAAAACCATAAAGCCAAGCCTAAATTCTGGAACAAATAAATTATAATAGCATAGGTAGCAATCTGCAAACTTAATGTAAGGAACAGATAAAAGTTACCAATCTAAAATGCTCCTAAGCCAGGCCTTTAGGGGGCACCAAGGAAAACAGTACTAAATTCTAATAGCATAAAGCAGTTCTAAAGGAAGCAGTGTGACAACACCATTAATACTATAGTCACCTGCATGCTCCAATCCTCAAAATACTAGCATTCTATAGCATGAACAAATAATTTACATAATTTACAAGGCATCAGTATAAAAATTTTATCATCAAATAATTAAGAAAAAATGGCTCTAGCTACCGAATTTAATTGAATAAACAAACAATTCCTAAAATCAACCTTCTCTTTTCTAGATTCAACAAGAAATTGGAGTAAGAAAACAAAAATACTTTCTGTCCCTGTTGCTGTCAGAGAACAAAAATACTTTCAGAAGGTCGTTTGCCTTCGATTCCTTTTTTGCTACCGTCGATGGCGTGATTGTATCTGAAAAATTCAAGGGACCGATGATTAAAAAGAGACCCAACAAAAAAGAGAGAGATTTTTTCGATTTGTTTGGGTAGATAGAGCTTACCATCACTCGATCCCTTCTCTTTGACGGAGATGATGAATTGTAGCAGCATAATGGGGTTAAAGTGGTGGGTGTTGGGGATTAAGCCACTGGCATGGGATTGCATTTGAAAAATTGGAGGAATTGGAGGAATCAATGGAGATGGAGATGAGAGGCGATGGAGAATGAATTAGAGATAGAGATGGCGATGACTACATAAGAGGCAAAGGCAAAGGGGAGGGGCTGAGATTAATAAAACGGCGTCGTTTTGGGTTAGGACTCCAAATTTTTTTGGGAGTCAGGACTGATGGCCACTTTACCGTATATATATATATATATATATAGATTTGACTCAATAAAAAAATTGTGAGTTAGAGATGAAATTTTAATATTTGATCTCAAAAAATAGATATTGGTGACCAAAATAAATATATTAAACTAATTTTAGGCACTACAAAGGTGATGATCTAGGATTTTTCTAGTAAAAGAATAAGAGGGAGGACAAGGGTGAGAAAGGTTAGAAGTTTATAGTTTTTTTACTAAATTTTTTGGGCTAAAAATATTAAAAATACAATTTTTTATATTTAATAGATTAATCTTGAAAAATTACTAATTGTTATATCAATATTGTGTTTTGAATTTAATGATAAGATTTATAAAATGATTAATGATAATTATTTTTATAAATATTAAGAATAACTAACTAGATAAAATAAAAATTAAGGATGAAATCTCTAAAACACAAAATATGAGGACTACTTTTAAATGTTTTCAAAAGTGCTGGGGGGCCATACCAGTTCCCCCACACCCCCTCCTCACCCCGGGTTCTCTTGGTGGCTCCCCACCGGTTTGGTCCATCTAAATTGGACATAGGTGCGTTAATCTTTCCTGTGGTGATTTGGTCGATATGGACAGCTCGAAATGGAGTCATTTTCGATCTAGAAGGATGGGACGAAGGAAGAATTTTTTACTTTATACAAGCTAAATTGTTTTTATATATATAGCTCAAAGAGAAGGCAGAAAATCAGCATTTCGCGTTTAGTGACTGGATTTATAATTTTCATTGGCTTGCGTTGATGGGTGATGATGATTTACTCACCCTAGTGAATTTTTTATTAGTTTAGTTTTAGGTATAACTTGTTTCTCTCTTTTAATAATATTCCTTTTCAGATGATGCCCTAAAAAGGTGAACATATTTATGCAAGTAGAATATTAATGAGGATAGAGTAATAGAATAAAGACAGTCATGTAACTAACATTATGTGATTCTACTTATTTTAAGATAATTACATTAATAATGTGAAATTTATGAGCTAAAATACAAGGGAGATGATATAAGAACAACTTTTTATACCACTTTTTTATATAATTTTCACATGTCATTATATAAATTAATGCATTCAATATCACGGGTCCCAAATAAATAAAAAACTAATAATTTAAATAACACATAAAATTGTATTAAAAGGTAATACAAAAAGGTTGTTCTAAATCATTTTTCTAAAATACACAAAGTATATATTGAGGAGCTAATGCTCTAATAAGCAAACAGTTGGAGGGTTTCCCAAAAAGGAATGTGTATCAAGACAGTAACGAAGAATCTTCTATTGCTTGATGTCCAGTACCATGTGGCCTAGTAACCATCCTCTTTGTGGGAATGTGCCTGGACATGAAAGTCTTGGAATCTATTCCTAAGCACTACTCCCCCTATCCCCAACAATTCCCCCAAGTCAAAAAAAAAAAAAAAAATCTTCTTTTGCTTGATATTTTAACCATGACTTCTTTCCTTCTTTGCACTTTCCTTGTCAACGATAGAATTCAAATCTGCATTCTCATGTCATACTATTCTGTTGTTTTCAACAGAGCTGAATGCTCAAGATATATATATATATAAAGAAGAAGAAGAAGAAGATAGCTTAATGTAGTATTTTTTTTTTTTCTTTTGGGAAATTTCAAATATTATATAGTTTAATTTTTTGCCTTCTACTAAATACAAAGCCCATACTTTAATAGTAGAAACTTATGGTATAACGTAATAGTTTAACAATATGATGAATTTCATACCAATAAGAGTTCAACCAAATTGATACCCACTAATTTAAAATTTTTGATTTGTAGTTCAAGTCATAGGTTTAAACTTTTTCGATACCAAGTAGTTAACCTTTCGATATACCCAAAAAAAAAAAAGAATTTCATAACCTAAATGTTTTTCAATTGGAATTTATTTATCATCCAAATTATTGCTTTATAAAATACATCAAAACATAAAAAATAAAATTTCATCTTAAATTATAGGATAGTAAACCTTATCTACAAATAAAAAAATGAATTTTCCAAACATTTTTCAAACAAAAAAAGAGTTAAGGTGTTTAAATAATCTAAAATTTAGCAAAAATAATTTTTGGGTATAAAAAATAAAAAGAAAAATTAAGTAAAAATTTCGATTGGACATCCCAAAATACCAATAAAGATTTCCTTTAGAACTTAACAAAAGTAACTAACACTAGATTGAGTTTGGTAATTTTAAAAAGTTTAGGGACCAATTTGTTTTACATAAGTCTGTGCAGAGAGTTAGATGTAGAAAAATTGGTGTAGACAAGGCAATTCCAAGAACCTATCTTTAAAATAATAGTTTTTGCTTTTTTGCAAAAAAATGTTATCCCTAAGATACAATGCCTACTATATTGAACTTTAAGACCCAAAGCCAGTATATTGATTAAGAGGAAAAAATTTGAAAAACAAAAGTAAAGATTTTCCGTATACGGACATTTATTCTATAGGTGGCTTTTAATTTGTATGACACAATAGGTGCCATTTGCACCAATTCACAGGGATGCAATTCTTCACCCAAGAATTGCAATTATTCTGGTTTTGTATTAGACAATTACAAACTGCATGGGCGGTTATTTAGACAATCATTTGTCCGCTCTTACACTTTCCTTCAATTGTGTTGTTTCAGACTCTTGCCTTTTATTCTAACTCTCATTCCCACAGTCACTTTAACTATAATTTATAGAGATATAAATATTATTATAATAAAGTCTATATACAGTATATATATTATTATTATTGGACAATATCGTATATAGTTTTAAGAGGTCATGCATAGCAATTCCAACTCTAAAAAAAAATAAAATCTTAACTTATATTTAAAAATTGAAATATTAATTTAAAATTTGAAAACTCACTCTATTAAATATTAATATATAGATTTAAAAATTAATTATATATTTTAATATAATCAGTTTTTATCCAAATCAAAATATC